CCATCCACCCATCCATCCATCCATCCATCCATAGATTGGTATTTATAATATTGGTAACATCAGAAGTCATGTACACAACTTTTCTAAAAAATACTGTATGGCTTAAAAGACAGTGTATTGACAAAAAATTTCAAAAATAATTCCACAAAATTTTATTATATAAAAAGTTATATTTTCAGGTGAGAACAATTCTGCTCAGTTTAAATAAATACGGAGTAATCATAAAAAAATTCATTGCAAAATTTCATTTAGAGAATTTTAAACAAACAGGAAAACATTTTGAAGAGGTAATTTTATTTAATAAATAAAACTTTCAAATATCATCGAATTCATAAAAAGAATTAAAAATATTGTTTAATTTTTATTACACAATTTTATAGCAAACTAGCTGTCGCCCGCGACTCCGTCCGCGTGGATATATAAAAAACTTAATTAGTGTAGCCTATGTGTACTTTCAGCCGTTCTAGAGATATCTTCAAACACCCATTCATCCATCCACATCACATCCATCTAAGCATTCGCATTTATTATATTAGTAAGTTAAATAAAAAGCAGTTCTTCAAGGCATAAATTCGAATTTTCAGCCATATCTGTAAAGCCGTTCTTGAGTTATAAATAGTGTAACTAACACGACTTTCTTTTATATATAATAAATTGTATTGTGAAATTCCTGCACATATCTGAGAAGAAATTCAAAGATATGTGTGAAGTCAACCAACCCGCATTGGGCCAGCGTGGTTGACTATGGCCTAATCACCCCTAACTTAGGTTAGGCTCCGAGCCCCTCAGTGGGGACGTATAGTGAGCTGATGATGATGATTGTAATGTACAGGTGACGTCATTGTTCCAGATAAATGCAACCACTAATAAGATATCCTGGATTTTCTTACGAATAATGTTAGTATTCGTCACATTAGGGATAACAGGTTTTAATGCAATACCATTGTACAATAATTACAAAGCTGACGTATTCAGTAGCGAGAAGAATAGTGATTTGAAATATGAATTCTCTATTTACTACAAATTTCCCGGATTCGATATAGTCGATCATTTTACATTGAGTACTATTTATAGTATTTATCTATCAGTTAATTGTGGTGCTTATGTATCTTCGATTGATTTATTTTTAATACTTATGATGTTCCAAATGGTTGCTCACTTACGTGCATTACAAGGTAGCTTGAATAACTTATCGATACTTGATGACAGACCTTTGGAAGAGATTGATTCTAACTTAACACCCGTACTTAAAATGTTTAACGATGAAGAAAATAATAGAATACATCAGAGATTGCAAGCAGTTATTGATCACCATAGATTTATAGTTAAGTAAGTACAGATTTTTATTATTATAAAGTATAGTAAATGTCTTTGGAGGCAGTACCAGGGAAAACCGCCCAGAGCGCCGGGCGTAGGTGGCGCCCCTCTAAGATATCTGTTTTGGAAAGTTTGCCTGGCTCGCCCGGTGAAATACCACGGCCACACAGAAAACAGGCGTCAAGTGGAAGCAATTCCGCGTTTCGTCTGATGAGTGCATCCCGGATGCCTAATTTAGTCTTCTTACATTTCCTACCCTTTTTCTTATAAGGAAAGGATGGGAAGTGGAAGTGGACTTTTCGGATGAAAGGATGCATGGAAAGGGAAAATATTTTCTTACTGTGCATCCTCTCCTCAGTCGATTAAAGGTAAGCAACGCATATGCAATTGCGTATGTCTATGGGCAACGGTCACTTCGCTAATTCAGCGATTTCAGGTGGCCGCTTGTTCGTTTGCCACCTTATGATATACAAAATAATAATTAGGGAGCCACAAAATTATCGCCTAGGGCACCGGAAATTTTAAAACCGGCCCTGGTGGGACAGATTAATTATCTTAATATTACCACTAATATTTTTGAATATATTTATGTTGCAGTTTCGCAGGTGAAATATCTTCTTTCTTTGGGCCGATGCTGGGTA